GCTGGATGACGTTATAAGTGTTTATGCAGTCGGTATCTTCTGTTTTCGCCAAAATATGCGGCTAATGAATACCTACCCCCTGTTAGTACAACAGGCATACAAGAAAATATAAGGACTTTTATTTCATGTACAGCGCTAGAGGAGAACCATCAGCCGGGTCACTATGCAGCGTCGTTTGTTCTGCCGCATATTTTATAGATCAGCTCGTGTGAAGCACGTGTAGACGAGTTGTTTAACTGTAAGTCGGTGTCATTTTAAAATAACTCTCACACAAGTCACCATTGTTGTTTCCCCTGCTCCGTGGGACATACGGTAGACATCTTTTGCGACGATTGGACCGTCAGCCCTTGTGCGAACCGGTGTCTCTGAGAGGTCTGACGCAAAATTTTGTCGGATTAGATCAACGCTACTCCGGCCTTTGCTCCTCTTACTCATTCTTAGTAGCAATGCAAATTTATTCCTAGACCTAGATTTCGTCATCTACAATTCCAGCATCATTATTAACAGTTTCCATACGTAGCTGCAGGAAATAATTTCGACGTGCAGGTGATCTCCTTGCACATACTCTCCCACGCCGACCTTTGCACCATGTTCACCAACTGGTTTTGGCAGCGTACTGTGGCTTTCACCATTGTGTTTTTGTAGTTACGACTAGCATTATGCATATGTTTGTCTGGCTACCTGATCTGTGGCTATAGCTCATTCCAGCGTGAGCACAGAGGACAACGCATGAAGTGGACGCTTTCGGGTTGTGGAGTAGGCGTCAAGGATCACGTTTATATGTAAAACTTTTTCCATGCAGTAGTTTGGATCGAGGATTAGATGAATGCTGTTTTGCCAATAAATTCCCAGCTTCATTTCTGCTTTTTTTTCATTTGCACACACAAAAACATTTCATACCGTGTACCAGATATGGATGGGAGATCATAAAATTATATTACGTTTTTTTTCTAGCAACTCTCGTCATTCGTCTTTGCCTGTTCCCGCTTATCATCGACCAGCGTCGAAAATTGGCGTCTTACACCAATGCAATGCCGAAAATCATGGCCCTTCAGGATCGGATGACGAAAGCGCGTATATCTTCGAATTATATAGAGAGTAGGTCTTGGTCGTACTTTAAACACGCACATTTTTTGCCCTGCCTTTTCATCAGACAAAAGTTGTATTTTTTGTAAAGCATATTTCGCCAACATCCATTTTTCAATGTATTTTTTTTCGCCTCTTGTGTTTTAGTGATGCAAGTTTCACAGCAGATGCAACACCTTATGAAAACGGAGGATATTAACCCCTTGCGTAGCATGCGGCTCATGATTGTTCAGGTGGGTTTTGCTCTTCTCTGTTTCCTTCTTTGCTTGTTTTTATGCTTCACTGGTGCCTGAACCATAAATTTGCCCACGAGGCTGTAGTTTTATGCACAGATCAATCATGGGAGGCTTCTGTTGATCAGTTTTCTCCTTTTTTCATTCCACCGCTTTTCTCCCTAGGTGCCCCTATTCCTCTCGGTGTTTGCCGGTTTGCGCGGCATGGCCGCGCTTCCCGTAGTCAGCATGCAAACTGGTGGTCTGGCTTGGTTCACTGATCTCACCCTCTGCGATCCATTCTACATTCTCCCGCTCTATAGTATGACTTCCATCTTCTTGATGTTCGAGGTACCATTTTGCCTTCCTTCCTTGCTGTGTACTTGTCCTTTTCTGCGGTTTATTACGTGCGCTTTTAAAGTCTCGTTGAGGGAGCGGTCGAGTAGCCTGCCGATTCCACTCATTGAACCTCGACTCCAGAACGACAGAGCAGTCAGCTGCATTTCAGATGAATGAGTTGCCCTTTTTACGACCAATAGACGAGGGAGTGAAATGGGATTTGGATATAGAACCTGGCTATTTTACAGACCACATACGTCGAGCACTCCACTGGTAGTATTCCAATCAGCCTGAGAAAAATTACTAAAGGAACAGTCGCGAGATCGTGAATTTGGCGTCTTCAAAGGCAGCATCGATAGCAAAACAAGTAAGAGGATAATGCTTGGTTGTTCTAACTAAGGCTGAACAAAAAAGAAAGCTGCGGTATTTCTTTTAAAATGGGCAAAACAGAGGAGGAAGTAATGACAATTTTTATGTTCCTTAATGTGCATCTTATCGCCTATATTGGACTTGCTATCAAGCCGTCCGAATGCATCACCCAACCGTTGAAGACTGGTTTCGTGCCTACTCAAGCAGTCTTATTATCCGGACCACAAAGTCTCTACTTCCACCATGCGGCGCCAGGCTTCGGCTCTGTACCCATCCACGGGCTCGTTGGCTTGGGTGACGATCTGGTTTTGGGCTCACTACGCATAATTCGCGTGACTGCCTCCTTATTTTGTGGTAGTAAGCACGTCTTTATCACCCCACAGGTACGACAGTTTATATCCGCACTGTGCACTTTCAACACAGAAATCTTTAGCATCCTGTTGTTACTTTCAGTTTTATTAGTTTTAGTTTGGCCTAGTTAAGTTAATTTAGTTTTATTTTAGTCTAGTTAGTTGCGCAGTCCCGCAATTTGCGCAGTTCTTTTTTCCTATTGGTTGTGCCTTTTCATTTTACTCATCGCGCGCTTTTGTTGCCAAATATTAGATTATTGAAATAATTATTCCTGTTATTTTTAACTGTCATACGCTCTGGTTTTTAATACTTTTTCTTTCCCCTGATATGCCCCCACTTATTTAATCCCTATTACAACCGGTCCCGTATTAGAGAATGCTAGGGCTTTCGCTTGCCGTAGTGAGCCCGAAACCAGACTGTCACCTTGCAT